AAAGACTCAATGTGATTGGTCACCTTGATCGAAACGCACTTATTTATGCTTCACAAGTTATAGTTTGTAAAAATATTCTAAACTAACAATAACAAACAAACCATTCATTTGTACTGTCGTCGAAATATTTCACTTGGCAAATGCTGGTTTCGTTATTAAAACCACCGATGGAGAAGATGGTGTCGTCAATTACTTGAAGCGCCAAGTTGCCACGCGAATTAAGCATGTCGGAGACCTTGGTTCACGTGTCTGTTTCAGGGTTGTACCTCTCCCCACTGCTCGAACTGGGTAACATTCCGACAAATCCTCCTGCATATACAAATGCTCTGTGTTAGGTCACAGACTATAAACGTGGGCTGCCGAACGAAACGTTTTCCAAGATCATTTAGCAGGGTCCTTCTCGATAATTTATTACTCCCTCAATTGATCAAGGATTTTCTGGCGTTCAATGGAACCAGAATGTTCATTACCACGTTCACAAGATCCCATAATTCGACCCTTCTCACGTAAATTATTTTTCTAAAGTCACGCTTAATATTATCCTTCTATTTACGTGGTCTCGTACTTTCAGTGTTTAAGATTCAAACTTTGCATTTCTCGTATATTCCCTGCGTATTACATACTCCGCTCATCTAATTTTATGGTTTTATTCTCATAAAATATGCAATTCGGTTCACGTAAGGAATGAATTAAACAAAAAATGTCTTCAGCCAAATGAGAGAGACGAAACAAATTAATCCCTTTATGCAATGGAACAAAATTAATAATAAAATGGCTATGATGGAACACATTTTTTCTTTCTTATGGCCATTACAAAAAGACTGCCCTGAACCACCAGCTCTTCTTGCGCACAGCATCCCTCAAACTCGCTAAAACTTCCTGGTAGAACTGTTTGTTTACCATCTGACCACGTGGTACAAATTCATGATGGACAATGCCTTTCCAATCAAAAAACACAAACAACACCACCTTGACATTTGACCGACTTATCCGTGCTCTTTTTGGTCGAGGAGACCCTTTCCCCACCCACTGCGACGATTGCATCGTGGTTTCAACATCATAGTCATAAACCCACGTCTCATCTCTTGTTATGATGTTCTTAAGAAAGTTTTCATTACCATTTGCATTGGCAAGCAGTTCCTGGCTGATTTCAACACGGTTCTCTTTCTGAGCGTCAGTCAACAAACGCGGCACGAATTTTGCATCAGAAGTTTTTCAGTCAAAATTTGATGGCAAGATCCTATGCTGATGCCCACTTCGTCATTAAATTCTAGGATAGTTAAACGACGATTTCCACGAATCATAGCACGAACTCTGACGACATGGTCGTCGTCTGTTGATGTAGAAGGTCGTCCAGGCCTGAGATCATCACCGACCGATATATTGCCCACTTTAAAACGTTTGAACCACTCATAGCATTGCGTTCGGCTCATACAGTCCCCCTCGTATGCTTGGTTAAGCAATTGAAATGTCTCTGTAAAATGTTTACTAAGTTTGCAGCAAAATTTCACACACATACGCTGTTCTTCAAGCCCTTTCATTGTCACTTTGTCACTAATCCGACGAACAGCTTGTGTACGTGCTCAGTTCAGCTGATGTAGATCGACGACTAATGTTCATAGCGGAACTTGGCAAATGGCAGTTTGTCGTCAAAACCTGCCGCTAGGTGCGCTCAGCAGCCGCAGCACACCATCTGTCCCGGTTGGCACGCTATTTACAAAGTTCGGTCTTTTTTTGAACACACCTCGTAGGAGGCTTGGGTTCGAATTCATCTTATATTGTACCTGAAATTGGCATAACTACTTTCATCCACGCCATTTTCAATCCATAATTCATCGCCATCTATTATTTTCCTCTGTATATTGTAAGGCGGCGTTAGAGTAATGTCAGCTGTATAAATATTTATGCGAATCCTTGATGGATAAGATAGACAACCCTTGTATTTGTTTTGTAAGAGTACGTGCAGTTCATTGCTCATAAAGGACACTTTTTTTCGGTTGTATTTAGTGCTTGGCTTGCCTCGGTAATGCGTTGCATATTCATAATGGAGCTAATTTTCTCAGTAAAAACGTGTACTCAGGAGGTGAATAAAGTATGTGACACTACGGAATGTGTTGATTCCACGTGTATTCCCGCTATGATTAGACGCAGCTAATTATTACACACTACACCCACATTACCGAGATCTGTAATTACGTAATGCTACAACAGATCCAGATAATCACTAGTCACAGACACATAAAAGAAACATGGTCCAATAATCAGTTCACTGGCGATTACTCCAGCCCACATCATAACACAAGGTGGATACTGTGCTACTTAAAAAAACATAGATTTTGTTTAGTCTGTTCAAAATGTATCGGACCTTAATTTTTCCCACGGAATCGAATGAAACAATGGTGGTGTCCTCCGAGTGGGGGGGGGGGACCTTCATGCGCATGCGTGAAATTTTTCCGGCGCGCAGAGAGCGTCAGTCGTTGGCAGTCAGCCTGTGAGTGAATGAGTGTAGTGAACGTCCGTCGGATTTTCTCCGAGATGTACCACACATTCATAAGCGACAACATTGCAACATGATGCTAAGGCTGGGAAACTATGAGTGAGGTTGCACAAGCCTCTTGCTGTTCATTCATGTCATGATCGCTTATTTCACCGGTAAATATGGTCTGGTACTTAAGGTATTCTTCATAATCCAATTCACATGGACTTTCTTGAAATATGGAACTCTGCACATTATTTCTTTGTGGACTTTTCAGACAATCGAAGTACTTACTCCTCCAAATTAGCACAGTCATCCGCATTTAAATATCCCTGTGGTATTAAACATCATTTCATCTAATGCAGAACAGGTTAGAAACATTTTTCTCCTAACAGTAAAGTAACGTAAAGCTGTCCCACTATGCTCCGGTACCCATTCGATAGGAGACTGGATAGGCCCCAGAGCCAGTCTGGACGCAGAGTCTAGAGGAAAAAAATCCTCTGCCCTCGTCGGGGATCGAACCCTGGTCGTCCAGTCCGTAGCGAAGCAAATTTTTCTCATATTTTCTTATCCTTATTGTTGGATAATACATGTGTATGGTATCACAGTACTGAAGGAAAAGTCACCCGCAAACCTTGATATCCCAGCCATGCCACGTAACACGTCTCTTTCTTGTACTTCCAGCAATGTCTCACCCGCCCCTCATATTCACCAGAAACTGCACATGTACAATCACATTGGATGATGTCTGTTGTCTTCTTCACTTATGGGGATTCTCTTCTTGTGCCTTACAGACTATCTGATCATGACTTAGGCCTACATCTAACTTGCAACGTACAAGTAATAAAATGCTAAAGTGGAAGTGGTCGCACACCGTTCCCAGTAACTAAATAGCAAATAAATTACTTGCTTAATTTCTTTCTGGGGATCACCATTTAAATGACACAGTAATCATCTGTTACTTACAGAACCCAAAGGTGTATCTTAAAGAGTAGAGATTCCAGGCTCTCTCAACAGATTCAAAAGTATGACTGGTCGGCCATCAGACAGGAAGAGAGTTTCATCCCTCTTAACTCTCTGACGGACAAATCTAAATACAGTTGTTGTTCTTACACTGTACAGTACAGTACATCTAGATTCATATTTTTATGGTTTCTATCATCAAGAATGCTTCAGCTTACTCATTGTGACGTCAGCAGCGTGTGATTTCGACTCTTTTACTCTCGTGGGTTTTGTCATCAGGGGGGACGGAGGCAGTATGGCCTCTGATATGTTGGTGGAAATACACCAGACTACACGGCGCAATATCCCATAAGACAGAAATCTTCAAAAACGTTATTGTATTTATTTTTTCACTTGCTTCAGTTGGCGGATGAAGTAGATCGTTCATATTCATGTATACAACCGACGGTCTGGTGGAACGTAGAGGCCCATATATGTCACAGTTTTGAATGGTACATATTAAGTAATCCACAACCAAATCATGTAAGAATTCGTTCGTTATACCTCTGATGATCAATAGAGGATTTGCGTCAATAAAAGTTAAGTGACTTACGCTCTTCAAACCGCACATTTAAGGTACTACCTACGAAGTATTAAAGAGATCATTAAGAGCCCTTCTTTTGCTGAAGTCAGTTTTTCACATTGCGAGCTCAACACAAATGCAATCATTACAACAGCTGCGTTAATAAAACGCACAAGCATAAAACCAAACAAATCACACGCAATTACTTTCGGCACAAAATCACATAATAATCTATAGATCGCCATTCTTTCGAGTTACTTAACACGAGCAAAGCCACTGACGATACCAACTAAACTATGTTTCGTTCTGTTCAGTTCTTTGAAGTACTTACGATGTAATATAACACCATACAAAATGAATACGGACCTGGAAGACAATGTACAAAAATATAATTTGCTAAATGGATGCATTTACAGATACTTGTGTTTCTATTTATTTCCTCTTTTTTTTACAAGTATTAAGAAAAGAAGGTTCAAAAAGAATAGTAACACAATAATGAGATTTCTGAGATGCATGATGAGGGTTGCACTTCAATATAAAACGAGAAGTGAAGAAGATTGCTGTCTTCCGGGGTGTTACGCCGTGTAGTATAGTTGTTGTCCATCAACCTTTTCAGAGGTCATGCTGCCTCCATCATCAGGGCGATGACCTCTGAAAAGCTGGCGGAATCAACCATACTACACAGCGCAACACCCCCAGAAGAGAGAAATCTTCATACTCACCTCTGTGGAAACCTCAAACCAAACGAGATGTGACGACTTAAGAAAACAGATAGACAAAGAAGAAATTTTGGTATAAATACGAGAATATCAAAAGAAATGACATAATTGTGTAGAAAGGATGACTTGTAAACCCCTTCCGTGGCAAAGGTACTTCCATCAACCTACTGGAATATGTCCAAGAAGGAGAAGGAAACATCAATTCAAGAACATATTTTTTCATTCAAAAGAGAATCATTAGAATAATGGCAGGCACTAAAAGGAGAGAATCTTGCAGGAAATTATTTAAGAAGTTTAATATTCTTCCACTACCCAGTGAATTCTTGCCCTTAATATTATCGTTTGTAGTCGATAACATGGAAAAATTTCAAACAAGTACCGGTGTTTGAAGTTTTCACAGTGGTGAGTCTGAAGATGGCTGTCTTCTGGGTTGTTGTGCCATGTAGTCTGGTAGATGTTTACAGTCATCTTCAACTGGATCTGCCCTTGTCTTCAGGTGTAGTGAAAGGGGCACCTCACTCACTGAACCAGTGACTGAGATTAGCTCATTCTAATGGGCCCCAGAGACTCAGAGTCCCCTTCATTACACCTGAAGATGGGGAAAGATCCAGTCCTGGAAATGTTGTGTTTATTACATCAGACATGGTCAAGGACCAAAAACCCAACAATCCAGGCCATATTATACCATCATTAGAATCCAAGAATTCACAGCGTTTCACATTTTTACATATATCTCAAATCACATAAGTTTACAAACATGTGCAACATGATGATGAAATGGAATAACAGAAAATATTTCTTCCCACGATCGTTTTCTTCCTCGTGTAACTGCTGTACAGACTATGGGACCCAGTCTAATGTCAGGGTGGCAGAGTCCCCCACAAAGTTTGTGTGTGCAACTGGCAAATTCCACTGTGTTAGGGTGAACCCTGGCACTAGAAACCAAGAAAGATACAATGAGTTTCATGCCCATCATTCTACCACCATTAAAAAATAAAGAAACCTTTGCATAAGAATTTGTGAACTATCAGTCAGATTGTCAGAAACTACGAGAAAGTGTTATGTAATAACAACTTAATTCCAGTCATAATATGTTGAGAGACAAGCTGTTATTTCCAAATATGAACAATGGAAGAAAATTAATTAAATGCAAAGACTTAAAATTAAATTACATTGTCTGGCCTCCATAGCCATGATATACAAGGGTTTAAAAAAACTACTTCAGGATGGATGCCAGTGTGGAAGTGCTGCACCTTATAATAGCATCAAGTACAAGTGAAGAAAGTATAAAATAAAACTGCATTTTCCAAGGAAATGGTGTACAGCCTAGTCAGAGGAGGGTCCACTGCCATACTGCAAAACCGAAGCCAAATTGCAGTGACTATGATCTTAATGTAGATGGGGCAAAAATACATGCAACATGGTAGTGGTATTGGTGACCGTTTTATTGATTCCTCTGGTTTAAATCTTGGACGAGGAAAAAGAAAGTGTAAGAATTTACCTTACCTCTTCTTTTCAAGTCAGTTGACGTTCTTAT